AGGGATATCAGGCAAGTTTTGCTTTTTCATTGTAATACACAGGAAATCTTTCCTAAAACTTGCAATAATGACTCAGTGCAGCCTGTCAGCAGCATATTCTTAATTTCAGAGCACAGCCTGTCACAGCATTTGACAAATGCTTCAATAAAGCAGCATCAAGCAGTGCCCAGCTGAACTGCAACATTCTGTGCTCTATTCATTACAAGAAAAACTTATTGGGAGCAGACATTGATTTGCCACGGACTGACTTTGAGCATGAATTACAAAAATACATCAGCATCTCTTCTGTTTAATGGCCCCAACCCTGGAAAAAAATTGAAGCCCTTGTGACAACCAGGCCAGGCTGAAGGAGGGGACAGGGATTTTTGGGAGACACCCTACAAAAACTCATTTTCTGTATGGCCAGCCTGTGTCCAGTGGAGCTGTCAGTGGTTCTGGGACTGCCCACATTTCTGGCACTTCATTACCCAAGCTGGATTGATGTTGGGTTTTATTCCTCTGGGTGATCCCCCCTCACTGAGGGACCTTTCCCAAATGAAAATGATCTCATTTCCAGCCCCTCCATCTCCAAAGGCTGCAGCAAAAACTCAAGGATTTCACCCCAAAAAGGCTCCGTGGGAACTGCTGGCTCCCCCCGTGTTTAAATGATGAAATTCCCAGCAAAGTGTGCAGAAAAGGAGCAGAGATTCTGCACCCAGGCAGGCAGGGAACCCCCACACTGACAGCTTTCTGACCAGCTAAGCCAGGCTTTGCCAGCACCAAACACAGCCCCAGGCCAGCAGGATTCCCACTGCACCACATCCCTCAGCTCTTCTTCCTCTCCATCACCACACAAACATTGCCAAATTAAGCCCCTTTCCAATAATATTTAGATTTTCTAAGAATCACGCAGTATTTTACCTATAAAACACCCGACTAATCACCTCAAAACCCATTTTTACTGGCACTAAATCATCACTTTGGGTCCATATCCTCCCTGATTTGCTAGAGGCGTAGAAAAGTAGGTATTTCCATAAGTCCCTAAATGAGATTTAATTTCAATACCTACACGCTAATTCAAATGCAAAGGAGCTAAATTGAAAAGGGGCATCCTATAAAACACACAGGGGATCAATACACAGCCAGAGAGTTGGAACATCTGCTTAGAAAAATGTCTGTCTGCTCCCTGGTTTATTTAAAGTGCACCATCTCATCTTCTTAACTTTTGAGAAAGAGGCAATTAAACTTGCCCAGATGGACTGGAGAGTTAAACAGAAAAAAAAAAAAAACCAAAACATCATCCAGCTAATCATGTGTATATAAAAATGAGGAGCTGGCATTGACATGGCCCCTGATTTCACAATTTGGGCAATGATGGCCCAGATCAATCAGGTCACATCCAGCAAAGGGATTTGCTGCTGGCAGGTGAGGAACAGAAATGGGCACAGGCTGCCTCAAACCCTCTGCAAGCACAGAAAAACTCACCACAAAATCCCTAAATAAGCAGAAATTACATTTTCTTAGCTCTCTATGTACACCTGAGTGATGCTGTAGAGCCCCAATTGGGCAGCTGAAAATCTTCTGGATTCAGTTTAAAGGAATTTTTTGGTTTTTTTCCAGCTGAGGTTTAATCATTGTTACCCCAGCCAGGAGAGGTGGATGCAGGACCTGCCTGCCAGCTGATGCTGCTGGGGGGGTCACACCTCTTCCTGAGGGATTTCCAAACACAGGAATTGGAAATGAACATGAAAAAAAAAACCCTAAATAATCAGAAAAAAACCCACTAGAAGTATTAAAAGCAAGGCAGATGTGATTTGCAAACCCTTGTCCAGCAGTGCCCAGGGCTGGGTGGTGTTTGAGGAGCACCAGGAGTCAGCCCCTGCCTCCTCTGCTGTGCAAACATTCATTAATGCTCCAGAAATGCAGAGTGCTGCAGAACTGACCAAAATATCAATTAATTAATTCATTCATTCATTCATTATGGGGCCGCAGCAGATGAATCATTTCCCTCTCACATCAAAGTGCACAGGGAGCTACACAGAACCAGAAAAAAAACAAAAAAACCCAAACAAACAAACAAAAAAAACCCCAAAAACCACTGAACAAATTGAACTGCAGCCTCGTTTAGGAGAGACCATAATTTAATATGTACAACAGGGCTCCCAGCTTTAATTATTTCTATTCAGACACGAAATTAGCTGAATTTCTCTGGTACAGAACCTGCAGCCGCATGAATTCAAATCCCCATCTCTCTGTGAATTCTGAGGTTTGATTTTTACATTTCATAGGAATGTATGGATATAAATTCTGGGGTTTTGTCTCACAATGGAGCACATTTGACTCTCTGTTGCATTTTTTTCCCCCAGTGCTCTGAACAGGTTTGAAAAGCTGCTGGGGTTCTGCTATGCTGGATCAGCACGAGATAAAATGACAAAGAATGCCTGGACAGGCATTTCTGAGAATATTTTCTTGTTAAAAATTTTTGGGAAAAAAACCCAAACCATCACTAAAAACAGCAACAAAAAAAAAACCAACCCCCCCCAAAAAAACCCAAAAAAACAACCAACCAACCAAATAAAAAACCAAAAAAAATCCAACAAAAAAAACCCAAACAACCAAACCAACCAAACAACAAACCCCAAACAAAAAAAACCCAAACAAAACCCAAACAAAACAAGAAAAAGAGAAACAACCCAAACCAAGAGCTCCAGGACAAATTAATTTCTTAAAGCTCCTGTATTTATGTGGTGCTTGAGGATGGAAGGGGCTGGTCAGGAGTCAGGGCAGGATCTGCCATGGGTCAGTGGGGGTTGAACAATTTTATTGTGCATCACCTGGTTTTTTACTTTATATTATTATTTACTATTAAATAAATTATTTACTATTAAATAAATTATTATAAAGTAAACAATACCATTGTTTATTATAATATTATGATGGTTATATTTTACTTTCTTTCAATTATTCACTTGTTCCTATCTCAACCTGCAAGTTTAAATTTTGATTTAATTTGATTTTGCACTGGGGTGGAGGCAGGTGAGTGGGAGGCTGGGTGGGGCTAAGCTGGGCTTAACCCACAGCACTGTCAGAAGGTGAATGGTTAAATCCCACTGTAAAATATGTATATGCACACTCAGACATTAATGTGTCTGTGCCACTGCAGCTCATTAACATGCAAATACGACTTCAGCAGAGAAACTCTCTGCTCCAGGAGGTTAATGAGGCAAAGGATGGCACAGAAGTCACAGAAACACAGAAAATTTCCTTTCAGAAAATTTCCTTTCAGACTGGTCCGGCATTGCAGGCACACGATGCCACATCTCTGGCTCACCCCAGGCAGAGCCTTTTGTTTCCATTCATGCCTTTCATATTTCCCAGGTTCTCCTCCCAGCTCAGGCACACAGAACAATCCTTTTCCAGCCCCACAACCAAGGACACGCTGCAGCTCCAGCCCCAAAAAGTGCAAACAGCAGCGAATGGAGGAGAGAATCTGGGAGGATGGGACTGCAGAACCTGGAGCTGGGACTGGACAATGAACCCAAGATGGAAATGAACCCAAACTGATAAAAGTGTGAAAACTCCTGACCCAGGGTCCATCTTGGGTGTAGCCATGGCCAGGCTCTTGTGCTGCCCAAGGTGAATCCTTTGAAGGGTTTTTAATAAACGACTGACTCTGCTTACAAGAACTAAACCAAATAATTCCATTTTCAGGTTTAAGAGTTGAGCTTAATTTCCTCTGTTATTCAAAGGTCCACAAGGCACTGTGGTTAGCTGGTAGACAACTTTTCTGCAGACTACTTTCTTTCATTTTATAGCTCAGTTATTAATATTTTTTTACGAAGGTGGAAAATGGTTTGCTCAACATGAAAACACAAGTTTCCCCCTTAACTTCAGAATATTTAACAGCAACCTGTGAGTGTGTTCATAACACCAGAGCACAAAACACTCCCACAGCTCTGGGAATCAATCCAAGTGCATCCCTTAAAAAAGAGCCCAAATGAGGGAGCCCTGCTCGTGGCAGCACCAGAATTCCCCCAGCACAGGCAGTGCCCTGCCTCCAGCCAGCTCAGCCAATGCTGCAGGCAGCCACAGAAAATTCCACATTTAAAACCTGCCCAAAGCACGTCCTGCAGCAAAAATGAACCATTTCCTCCCCCAGCACCTGTTCTAAAATTCACACAAAACTTCCAGCACTCCTCTCCCCATACAACTGTTAAATCTCCCTCAGCAGGACAGAGAATCTGAGGCCTGAGGAAATTCAGTGCAATGCAAAGAGGAGGGAAAATGCTGCTGCAGAATAATGGGGAGAAAGCCAGTGCTGGAGAGATGTATTTTCATTAAACACAGATCTTTTGATAAAGGCAACCCCCCTCAAACACATCCCCCTGAAACTTTCTTTTTGCTGACCTTAAGCAGTTTGCAGTAGGTATTTCAAGCAGAGAAATTACAGTAAAAATATTTTCCATGCTTTTGTTTTCCCACTCTTTTATTTATTTGCTTGAAATAAAGGCTCATCCTCGCTGTATTCCCACAGCTCAACTTCCCTGGGGTTGCAATTCCCAAAACACGTGGGGGCTCTGCATTGCAGAATCTCTCTGCATCCAATTTTCTGCCAGCTCAGAAACTGTCAAAGCACATTTAGAAAGACTTGGAACCAAATTTTAAAAATAGGTACCCCTAAGTACCGGAAGAAAAGTCGCTTATGTTCAGTAGAGCTAAGCAGAAAAAAAAAAAAAAGTAAACAGTGCTCTAAGTACTTTGTTATTATCTAAAATGCTGGAAAAGTAACCTGGCAGTGAACACAAAGGGAAAGGGAGAAATCAAACGTCAATAAATAAAGCAGTAAAACAGTCTGAGTGAGCAGCAGGTAAATTAGAGCAATCCAGGTTAACACCAGGGTGACATAAACATTAATTAAAGCCTGACACCCTCCCTCAGAACAAAACACATGTGAGAGAATAATAATGGCAGTGCAAGGAGGAATTAATCAAGGATGTGGCAAAGACAGAAAGACTCAGGACAGCCTTGGGCAGTCCTGGTGTGATCCCACAGCCAGTGGCAAGGCCAGCAGGGCTTTGGAACCAGATTTCTGCAACCCCAAAAATGTTCTCAAGAACTGTTCCAGCTCCAGGAAAAAGGCACATCCCTCCAAAATCTCTGGGAATTTCTCTGAAATGGTCTGAGAGTTGCAGCTTTGGCTGAAAAGGTTAAACAAGGGCACTTGCAGGAGATGGTTGTACGGCTGGAATATGTTATTCTAATTATTTGTTAAATGGAGCGAGGGCTCAGCTGTAACACAACACCACTTTAATGGGATTTAAACTCCACTCCACGCAGGTTTAATTGAGCAGGGAAACGCTTAACACAGAATGAGGGAAAACAACTTCCATCAACAGCAGCTTGGAAGAGGAAAGGGGCAGAGCAAACCTTTGAGAAATGGTGCTTGGGCTGGGAGACTCTGACCAACAGGAAAATGAGTTTCACCTTCATCCACCCAGTGACAGCAGCCATGAACAGGGATTGCTTTGGGCACATCAACTGATGCCTTGGGTTTCAGCTTTTCTATTCTTCAGAATCTCTGCTGCTTAGTGTGTAACTCTGGAACTTCATGTCAGGTGTTGGTGAGTTCTATTCACAGGGTGGTGACAAAACAATTCCTTTCTAGGCAGAGAATCAAGGACAACTGGGACCCAAAAAGCAGAAACGATGGCAAAAGGAAGGGGGCAAGGCAGGGGGCTGAGACTTCATAGCCTGGGGCTGTGGGTGGATCATTGACCCCAAGATGAACCAAAACTTATCAAAGTGTAAAACTCGTGACCAGGATCCATCTGGGATTTGATTTGGGTGCAGCCCTGGCCGGGCTCTTGCACTGCCCAAGGTGAATCCTTCCAATAAATTCCCATTTTATCCTTTCAATAAATACCTATTTTATCATTTCAATAAATACCTATTTTATCATTTCAGTAAATACCTATTTTATTCCTTTTGCTCTGCCTGGTCTCTGTTCCAGCTCAGCCTTTCCAGGCAAACAGAACCACGGGGCTCTCTGGCATCAGTGGGAAGAGCAGGGGTGTTTTAACCCCAAAAAATGGCAAGAGGACAGCTCACCTGCCAGGCACAGCAGGACCGAGTGCAGCACCAGCAGCTCCCATAGCAACCTCATCTTCAGCTGCAGGGGCAGAGGAGACGAGCCCAGGAATTACAGAGCACAACGGGGCTCCTTGGAATCCTCAGGCAAGCTTTAATCTGTAAAACAAAACAGATTGGTCAAGGGGATTTAGGGTTGCTGCTCCTATTTGCTGACTGTTTTGTGTCTGAGGATCAGCAAAGGAAGTTTTGTAAATGTTGACTTTTTAAGAAGATTCTCAGCAGTGATTTGTGAGCGTTTCAGGTGTCTCAGTGGCAGGTGAGGATTAGGAATTGGAACCTTTAGCTGTGAAATTTCTGCTGTCTCTTAATTTTCCCTCAGGAGATTCACTCCCTGCCTCTCTGGGGTGAGCTGGTGTAATTAGTGAGCTCTGTGGATTAAAATGAAAATTCGAGTAATTCTCGAACTCTGTAACTTTTCTCTGCAAACACCATCCAGCGCCCAAAGGACACCATCTCTGCAAGGCAACACTTTGCAGCAAAGGTTCCCAACACTGCTCAAGGAAGGGGATATTTTTTTCCCATTCCACCTCCATCCTCACTGCACTAAAATTCTGTTTAAAAATCAACCTTCAAACACCTTCCCCTCCCCGCCCATTATGACCTGTAAATAATTCGAATTTGAGAGCAATTTGAGACTTTCTCAGCTGATCAGGGCAAACTTGCACCATCCCCCTCTCCGAGCAACCCAAGGAGGAAAAAAACGCCTTCATTTATGAAAGGAACCACTCCAGAGCAGGCATTTAAATATTAAAAATAAATAAATCAAGCCAGACACACATTCTTATAATTTATTCATCTCGGTGAAGTCTGGAAGTTCAGGGGCCTTCGTGCTTACAAGACAAACTGCATGAGTAATAACGAGAGAGGTCTCTGCCTGCTTTTGTGAGCTAAAATTGGGCAAATTCTTCTCATAAAGTCAGGTTCAATGCACTGGGAAGGTTGAGAATCTTCACCCTCTGATGTGAAGATGCAGTTTGGAAGCAGGGAGAGATTAATTGCATAAATTCATCTATTCTCACACAGACTGATGAGGTGTGCTGGGGGGAGCAGGAATGACCAATCAATGAATACTAAGAACTATTTAATGCAATGATCAGAGTATTAATTATTAATTTTGGAAGGAAAATGTCTATACTGATTGACATAGTGAAGCAGTTACACTCTGTTTATAGTGAACTCCAGAAATGTATATTTTTTTACCCTAAATGGTCACTGACCTGTGGAAAAATATTAGTTTTCCTCCAAGTAGCAAATTCTGTTGAACAGCACCTACACAAGGAATTTCTACCACAGAAAGTCACTCTTGGTTTTACACCAATTGAAGTGAAATTTGGGATAAATCTTGGATTTCAGCAGCTGCTGAAATTCTTCCCTGTTCTCAAATTATCCCGACCAATAAACCCCTAAAAAGTTTCTCTTCATTCCCCTGCCTGGAGATGCTTTGCAATTATTCTCCTGTCTCCCTGCAATGAGCAGAGCAATCAGTCTCAGCATTTGATATCTAATTAAAAACACAAGACTTTGATAAGAACTTATCAACTTAACCCACAGGAGCCCGTGGGAAGCACCCACAGACTGCCAAGGTGCAAAGGGCTCACAAAAAAAATTCCTTACTTTTCCATAAATTAAAAAAATATATCCTGGAATTTTTTTAATTCCTAGTTTTGCGTTTATTGCCTCTCCTGCCCTGACCCAGCATCCATTTGGGGAAAGTTCTGGCTACTGTGAGGGTTTGTAAACTCATTTTATTTATTTATTTTTCTACTCAGGAAATAACACTTCTCTCAGCATTTTAAGCACTCATACAAAAGCATTTCAAAGTTACTAATGTAAATTAGTTTTTAGCTTACAAAGATATTAAAAGTAGCAGGCTCTGCTTCCTCCCATTGAGTTTTGACACAATCCCTGCACCTCAATTTCAGCCAAAAACAAAAGTTATGCTAAAAATACTGAATTGTAGAATGGTTTGGGGTTGGAAGGGAAATTAAATCCCACCCAGTGCCACCCCTGCCATGGCAGGGACACCTCCCACTGTCCCAAACCCCAATGTCCAGCCTGGCCTGGGACACTCCAGGGATCCAGGGGCAGCCACAGCTGCTTAGGGAAATAAATAAATTTTAAATCCAATGGAAAAGCTGAAAGTTTTCCATTATTCAGCCAGCCAGCAGTTGCTGCAGAGAACAAACAGACACCAGAGGGTTGTGCAGTGCTTCCAAGCAGAGTTTCCAGCTCCCTGATGTCTTCACAGGGTAAGGCACGACACAAAGTTTCCCCAAAGAGAAACGATGCCTGTCTTGGCATCAACAGCACTGAAAAGTAAATTAGATGATTACCACTAAAAATATTTTCCTGCAGTTAAATTATGGTGGTTCTCAAGCCATGGCTGCAATTCCATTTCTCGTGATAGTTCCCTATTTCACATATGAATGAGTCCAATTCTCAAAATGTTTCCCTGTAAATATTTCTGCTGTTCACATCAGCAGGGCCTTTGTTCAGAGCTCTGCAAGGGCTGTTCAAACACATCAACTTTTTATGGCAGCGACTTCAGGAAAAGCAACATTTGTGCACAAGCAAAAGGTGGATAATTGAAAAGATCCTTCCCGTTCCTAAATGTTTCCTGACTATGAAATCCCAGGGGAGTTTGTGCTGCTGCCGAAGACCTGAAAACTCACAAAGTTTAATATTTCATTTCCAGAAGGAAGCAGAGGCAGTTTCAGCACTACACAAGTTATTTTTTCGAGATGAAAATGAGATTGCTGAGCTTCAGTGTGGAAGAGCAGCCCATTAGAAACCCCAGTGCCAGCACACGTGTGCAGATGTCTTTTTAACTTTACTTCTGGCAATGCAGCCATTGCAAATTCTTTTGAAAGGCACCTTTGCTCCTAATTGGATTCTGCCAAAGAAACTTGACTCTTAGAGCTCTGACTGCAGGCAGGTAGGAGGGGGGAAAAAAAATGTGTGGAGTAGAAATATTTGTGGTGAATTTTTCTGTGTTTGTGGGCACGGCTGTGTGAGTAATTTTGTTTGAATGTTTCATGATAAGCACTTCTGTAAAAGCAAAATAAAAACTTAAATCCTGAGGCTAATATATCTATGGATGCATTCAGAATGTGAAAAATTCTTTTTAAGATAAATTTGCACTATGTGACCTCTCAGTTTTGTGACTATTCTGAAGGAAAACCTGCAGAACACACCTCAGACTGATGCCTTATTGTTTCAGCTTTTATGTTTTTCATCTATTTGTAATCCTGCAGTTCTTTAGTGTGTAACTCCAAACTCCATATCCAGTGCTGGCTGCTGCTCTCCCATTTTGGGCAGACACAACAATTCCTCTCCAGGCTGGCAATCAAGGACACCTCACTGCCTCAGGCCCCCAGGGATGGAAACAAAAGTGAGTTGGGGGCAGCAAACTTGGGGTAAATGACTTCATTACCTGGAGCTGTAATTGGAAGATTAACCCCCAATGTGCAAATGGCCCAAACTTATCAAAGTGTGAAAACCTGTGACCCATCATCCATTTTTGGGTGCAGCCCTGGGGGGGCTTTGTCTGCCCTAAATGTACCTGAAGGCCCTTCAATAAATAAAACAGCTTTTTATTCCCTTAATTCTGTCTTGCCCTCTGTTTTTAGATAATCCCAAAAAGGCATCGAGACCCTGCAGAGCTGCAGCAGCACAAGGAGCAGCCTGAGCACTCACTGGTGTGCTGCAGAGTGCCAGCCCTGCTCAGCTCCCCAATTAATCGCTGCTAATGAAGCTGCACAGACACACAGGCAGCTTTTAATCAGCCCGGCCAAGGCAGAGCTCAGGACACTCAGCACGAATTGGGGACTCGCTGGATGGGAGGTGATGCAGCCACAGGTGTGACCCTGCGGGAGGAGCAGCACGGAGGGGAATTCGCTGCCTCCCGACATGAATTCGTGCTGCCAAAATCCTCCTCCGAGGCACCCAGCTTTAGAAACAGCAATGGGGAATCACAGAAATCATCTTCAGGCTGGGCTGCAGAAGGGAGAGCAGAGGTTTGGGTGACCCCACTGCTCTCTGCTTACACCTGGGGCTGAGGACACGAAATCACTGAATTATTTGGGTGGGAAAAGACCTCAAAGATCAACCTGTGAGCAATCCCCACCTTGTCACCGAGTGCCACATCCAGACACTCCTGGAACTGTTGAAGGAAGGGAGCAGATAGAGAATGTAGACAGCACCTACACTGGATGGATGTTGCAGGCCAAATCTAGAAATACCAGAGCCAGCAAAATTTGAGCAAAAAAAGGTTTAAGAGAAGATCAAGTTCCACTCGTCTTCACAAAAAAAAAAAAAGGTTGAAAATAAGCCACAAAAAGTTTTCTGAGGTTCCAAAAAACCCCTCTTTCTCTTAAAGAAAAAGAATTAACACTTTTTCTAATGCACACCTACAAAAAGGTCTCTACCCATCAAAGATGGGTTTGGTAGGAGCTTCGGTCTTACTACAACTATGGGATAATTAAGGCTGGAAAGACA